AGTGTGGAGGGTCGTCGAGACAAGTGAAAGACCTAAACATTTTTTCGTAATGCTTAAATTTCTCAACAAGCGCCGACAGATCCTTCCCGATTTCAGAAAAACCATTTCTGGACTGCCTGAAGAATTTAAATAAATCAACTTCGGTTGATCTACATTTTTGACAAGACCAACGAAGACCCTTACCCTCGTTAATAGCGTCTAAAACTCTACCGCTCAAACCAGCACATTTTATATGGGCAATCCCATCGCAGAGCCAGCATGACACATAGGAGTCGCTTTTAACGTGGCAATTGGTGTAAATACACGACATGTTTAAAATTGTATTTATTTTTAGGTTTTAAAAGCAAAAAAGCAAAAACGGTTTTGAAAACGATGTATTAATCAGTGAACCAATCAGCTGGTAAATATCAATTAGCGAACAGTTTTAGATGCACTGTATATTTGACACCTAATAAACACAACGCAAACAGCTGTGACAAAGATGAAACAGCAGAAATGACAAAAAGACAAAAAGAGCAAAATCAATGTGCACAAACAAAAACAATTGTACAACAACAATATATTATATGAAACAAAATACTCGGCACATGCAATTAAGAATATCAAGTTAAATTAATCAAATTTACGGGAAATTTTTATGTTTTACTTATCTTTAAATTGTGCACCAGAAGTTTATTAACACTTTTTTTAATTTTTTACTTTAATAAGCGTAAACAGCTTTATCAAACACAAAATTTAAACAGATCACAGAAAAACACAGCTTCACAGCTTGACGTTTGCGTTGACTTGCGTTGCAGTAATTACGCAATTACGGGTTTAAGATTAAAGAGGTTTAAAAAGGTTTTAGTTTGAAGGTTGCCACCTGTTTGAAAAGTCAAATTAATTTAAATTATGCAAAAGTTATATGAAATGTTAAAATATTGGTTTATAATGAAAGATGCTTAAAAAGGTTTTAGTTTGAAAACATTTCGAATAGAGTTGCCGTCTGTTTGAAAAGTCAAATTAAATTAAATTATGCAGAAGCTATGTGAAATATCAAAAGACGTGTGTCAAACGAAAGAGCGGTAAGAAATATTTAATTCAAGCATTTAGAATATTTTCGAGGTATTTGAAGAGTTGTGGCCACCGCTTAAAAAAGTTAAATTCATTATTTTATAAGTTAAATGACTTACCGATGCATATTAATGGAAGTGGGTTTGGCAAGGCTTCGTTTCTTAAAAATACAATGGGGGTTGCTACGTGATTAAAACGATAGACATTTAAAAGATTTTAGTTTGAAAAAACCTTTGAATCTTTTTTTGCCTTTTTTCAGGTAATTTAAAATTCTTTGCTTAGAGAGACTTAAAACTTGTTGAGCCAATTTTTTTTTTTTTTAATTTTCAAAAATACACATTTAAGTATCTATTTACATAATATAATCTAAAATCTATCTCGTCAGCAGTGGTAAATCTTTCATTCCCATTCAAACAGCAGTTTTTCAATAATAAGGCGATGTCTTGCCTCATTAGGTTAAGTAGACACGTTATGTATTGTACATTCATAGCGATATATATACGTAACTGACTTCTTGATGAAGGTATAACTGTCGACTAAGGCAACTTTAGCTTGGGCCACGGGAAATGTGCAATACATCTTTAAAGTTAAGCAGCCATTCTGCTTCATATTGAATGTGCTAAGCACAGTCGCATCATATTAAGTATACTGCCAAAAATAACTTAGAAATATTTTCTTTTTTTTTGATTACTAGTATAATTGGCCAAATCTGCGGTAGTACTCAGAATTGCAAACCTCTACGTGATTATTTTTATATCTGGCAGCTAAAATCCCCATTTACGGTAATTAAATTCGCATATTTTTGCTAATTTGCTTATTTACTTTGCCGCTAACAAGCAAGTGATTATAATTATGAAGATGAAGTATACACATACATATATATATACATACATATGTATGTATGTAGTTAGAGGTGCGCTTAAGAATAGAACTCCTAAATATTATATACATATTTGTGTATATTTGAGGGTGCATCACTATCCAAACAAATTATTAAAAAATTGGCAAAAATATTGGAAAATATAAAACATGATATTTATACGTACTTTAAGATCTCCGCCAAAATATTTCTGAAACATATTAAGTTTAACATGAGCTGGACCGATTCGAAAATACCTCCAAAAATCCAGTTTTTTTAAAATAATACAAATTTTTAAAAATATATTTTTTTAATCATCTGAGGTGAAAAATTATATTTAGTTAAAAAGCGATTCCGTTTAAGAAGAATAGGAAGTTCCCTAACTTGATTTAATTTAACTTTTTTAAATTAGCTAAAAATAGGATTAAAGTGATTGGCCCGTAGTCATAGTCAAATGCTGTGGATAGCAGTAGTTGCTTGAGCTGATCTGCTCTTGTGCCAGACTGCCAGATCACTTGCTCACTTTGGTGAATACCACTAATGTTTACTGCAAGAAAACAACTAGTCGAAAAATCGAAAATGATAGTTGTTTGTGAGCGGTTAGTTGAAGAAGTCGGAAAGAAACGATTAGTCGATTAAGTGAAATCGATTATTTTTTTAAACAACTTTTGCTATTCGACTAACCGATTGGTCGACTAACAAGAGCTCTGGTGTTCAAGCTTGCCTAATTATCAGGTTATTTGGTTAATTTTTTTGTAGTGTATTTTATTGTTGTTAACTGAATAAAAAATAACACACAACCTGATAACCGGACAGGTGTGAACGAAATATTTATTTTTTTTTTTCAAATCGGTCCATCTCACTCAAATCTTCTTATATTTCAGATATTTTTTTGGTGAAAAAAATATATATATAATAAATTTATATAGTTCTGTTTAAAAACCCAATTTGTTGGTGAGGCACCCTAATGTGCATACATAAGTAGCAGCTAAATAAAATGTAACTCATATTGGTGTGCAATATACATCAAACAACTTCAGTTAACATGCTTTCAATATCAATTTTACTTGACGGTATTGTCGTAATATTTTTAACGATGTGTGACGTTATCTTTGCACCTATTGCATCCGAAAAGACAAATTTTTAATATAATAAAATGCAGCTTCTTTTGCATAAATTAAATATGTATGGCATAAGAGGTTCTTTAATAAAATATTTTCTTAAGTTGTTTAACCGGTACTCAACAGAATCGGCTTCATTCGTTGAACCGTGGTCGTGTATTCCCGCAAGGGATACACTGCGCCTAATTTCTGTTCCTAAATTTTATTAAAAATTAACAGTATATCGGATAAATACCTGTCCTGAGTCTGTAAGAATTTAACTAAATATATATATTTCTGCCATTCAATTAAAGTAGCTTAAGTGCCTTTAGAAGTTTTGACCCTAAATTAGAAAATGATCAGTCTCCCTTGAAAATTTTTGTTTTTTACTAAGCTTGTAGTACACCTACACTGAGAGAAAAAAGCGTTGTGCTATTTATTATATATAACGCATAGTAAAAATAAATATTTTTTATTTGATTATCGTAATAAAATGTTCGCATTTAAAATAATACTTTTATACCACGCACGCGTGCTGTTTCAAACTCAACATTTGAAAGCACATTAACATGTCTGGCTGTAGCTGAGTGCTCAAAGATGCTTGCCACAATTTGTTATAATTCCAGAGGGTCAGGCAGGATGGAAATAATTTTTTTTTGTTTATCGTAATTATGAAAAAGCATCCGTTAAGTACAAAACGCTTCATTTTAATATTATCGTATTTGAATTGAATATTTCCATACTAAATACTAAAATTTTTATACTAAAATATTTTACGAGTTAGGTTTGTGCTCTTTTATATGCGTATTTTTTTTTATTAACGCGTTTTTTTAATTCTAAATTTTTTTCTCTCAGTGTATGGCTAGTTAAACGTTGAAATATTGTTTGAGAACCCGAGGAAATATTGCTTTAAAGGGTAAAGGGCCTATGCCTACTTATGCTACATTAATTGAACGGCATATATATAAGTACATACATAAACAAATAAATACTTATTTTAATTTCTTGCATTCAAATAAGAAATTGAACAATCCGTAGAGTTAGAAAAGTTAAGACTAAAACATAAAAAATTTTAAGCTTCCAAATTAAAGAAATAGCAAACATAATCTATTACTAAAATTACCAAAAAACATAAAATATAACAACAAACATTTTTTAAATCATTATACAACATCTATATATTCTAAAATGCTATGCTGGTAAAAGCAAAAATTGAGTAGCCACAACAAAGCAAAAATAAAACAAATCGGGAAATAACAATAGACAGATCGAAAGAAAGAGTCAATAACGTCGGCTGGTCAGTGAACAAACAGATTTTTGAAAAATGACGGCAACAGCGGCATTGTTATCTATGTATAAATGTATGAGTGTATTGCATATGTATATTCGTATGTATATTAGGGTGGCTCAAAAATGCATGTGAAAAACTTAAGTGGGAATTTTAATGCACTCACCAACTAGGAATATTTTATACGGAAAAAATTATACCCCTGGTTTTTTCATTTTGAAATAAAAAAATATTAAGAGGTCGCTTAAAGTTTTCCAAGTACACATTTAAAAACAATTTTTGGTATAGAATTCTTGACAATCAATATTTTTCGATCAAAAAACTATGTTTCTCTTCAGGATACTTGCAATAATAATATCCAATTGTTTTTTTTGGTGCGAGCACTAATATTCCCACTTTATTCTTTTTGGACTACCCTAATGTATATACATATATACGTACATACATATTTGCGGATAATCACTGGCAGACGCCGCTAAATAGCCAACCAGTGCGGACAGCTGTTGCCGCCTTCCTCGTCCCTCCAGCACTCCCCCGCTTGACGGTCTCTGCTACTGGCGCATTGGAATTTTTAACAATGTCTATCTATCACCATCACGTTCAGAATAAAATAAAAAATTATTTGCTTATTTTGTTGACAAAATATTTCAATTTCAATATTTCAGATTGTGTCAGAAAGTAGCGTTGAGCGCACAAGTATATAAGTAGTCGAAAAGCCGCAGCGCAAGGAATAGGTAGGGATGCAAATTTTGGGGAGTAACATCGATGCATCGATGTTTCGATGCATCGGACAAATGAACATCGATGCTAAAATACATCGCCAGAAAAACATCGATATATCGATGGTTTCCGATGTTTCCAAATTTGTTAGGTTGTAGTCACATTGAAAGGAAAATTTAATACTTTTCAATTCATACTCTCTGTAATTCAATTAGAAAAATACTGACATATGGATGTATTTCCCTGTATTTATTTACTATTCCTTTGCCCTTCCTATAAATATAATAAAAATGCATGCCGTCGTAAGTTCGCTGAGCCTAAAGTTCCAAGCCCCAAATTCGTTGAAATTTCAACGGGAACCCGGTCCTTTTTTTATGATTATGTACGCATTTTTAATATCGAAAGATAAGAGTATACACGGAATTTCTGAATTTTCCCCAAAAGAATAAGTAATAAAATTCATGGCCAGTCAAAAAATTTTAGGAGCATAATAGGGTAAGTTGAATTCAAGTCTGAATCACACTAAAGTCGATGTTAAAACATCGCTGAAACTGGCATCGATGTATCGTCAATTTAGCGATTTTAGGAAATTGTAAACATCGATGGCAAACATCGAATTTTGAACCGATATTATCGATGTTTCAAAAATATCGATGCATCGTTTGCATCCCTAGGAATAGGCGGCAAAGTGCTCGTACGAATAGTATATGCATTCAATCGATCGAAATTTTATATGTGATTACGCGATTTCAAATAAATTTCGCACGCGTTTACAAGGAATTGCGTCCATTTGGCCTGCATATCCAAAAACACATTTCATATTGGCTTTAGTGAAATTTTTAAATTTTATTTTCAATTTCGAAATTTATTTGGTGTGCTGGACATTGTTTCTATTTTGACGCATTTGCATTAAATGCGTTTTTAATTACGCTGAATTTAGCAAATTCCAAATGTGAGTTTTTTTTCAAATATATGTATTTAGCTGAGTGCAGAAAAAAGTGTTGAATTTGTAAATATTAAAGTGCACGCGCGAAAATGCAAAGCGTAAAGAGCGTGTCAGAGTGGCAATGCAATGTACATATTTCGAAAAGGCTGTCAAATTGAGAAGTTTCAACAACTAGTTGCATGGCGAATGAATTTCGGGCCATTTTTCTGGATAATAAAAATTAAATTAGGAAAAAAAATACAACAAACAAAATCTAAAAAGAAGAAAATTGTACACGCTTACTTCAAAAATTAAATAAAATAAAATAATATTTTTATTTCTAAAAGAAAATATAAAAACCAAAATAAATTTAAGTAAATAGAAAAAGCAAAAATATTAACAAGATCCTAAAAATTAAGTGAAATAAAAAATATCTTTCTTTTTTCGAAAAAGATAAAACTAAAATTTAAAGCAAAGTTAAATTACAAAAAGAAAAAATAAATGAAATAAGTTTCTAAAAATAAAATGAAATCAAAAAAAGGTTCTTTTTGAAACAATAAAATTTAAAAATTTAAAGAAAATTAAACCAAAAAATATAGAACCTAAAAAATAAAATAAGTTCCTAAAAGTTAAATGAAATTCAAAACAATATTCTTATTTTTAAAACAATAACTGCTAAAAATTAAAAGAAAATTAAATAAAGAAAAAAAATAAAATAAATAAAGGAAAAAAATACCTAACATAAGTTTCTAGGATAAAACTAAATATATATATATATATTTTTTAAACACAAAAATCTTAAAATAAAAAAAAATATCAAATTAAAAAAATCAAAAATTGTAAATTAAAAAAGAAGAAAAAATCGCCGTTCGAGGACTCAAACTCGGACCTCTCGAATGGCACGCCTGTGCTTTGCTCTCTCGGTCATTACGACTGTTGGATCAATGCGAACTAAACGATATACATACATACAAGTACTTTCTCCCAAAATAGCTTTTCACCACGTGTGGTGAATGACAGAGCACTTTTCTAAGACTTTTGTGCTGGAATATTAAAATTCTTTCGAACTAACTTTTCAACTGTTTTTCATTTGTTTTTCATTCACCACTTATCGTGAATAAGTTGAAATATATTTCTGAAATCGATTTGCGCTCTTTCAGTTGCATTCACATCTTGCAACTTTAATTTCAGAAACTGATTTACGCGATTTAAGTGACAGAAAGCTCTTTCTGGCTGTTTACACGTGGAAATAAAATTTATAATTTTCAATTTGCCAGCAAATTGCGTGGAAAAGTTAGAAATATTGTCGCGTCTGACGCGGTCTTAGCATTGCGGCAAGCGCAATTTGCTATTTGAAAGTGGGGTAGTTGTGCGGAAGTGGGTGCGAATATTTTGACCCACATTGTCGTGGTTTTGTGTAAATTTTCCCAAAATATGCAACTACAAAGTCAAGATTATTGTCAATAAAAAAAAAAAGGAGGAACAATTTTCGGAATATTTCAAATTTGAAAAATATTTACGTACATAAGTATTAGGCTGGGTCGATTTTGTATGGGGGAAAATAAAAGTCATTTGACCGCATTATAATAGTAATATTATGATGTCTTAGGTCTCAGCCAATTGTTATTGGCCACGAAAGATTAATTTAAAACTTATCTTTAGCCCGCGCAATTGAATCAAAGTGTATGAATTTTGAAAATGAAACTTTGGCTTGTAATATCTATGGAATGCGTTATTGTTATAAACATGACGATATATCAAATTAAGGGCTATTAAATTTAGAACCTCACGTTCATTTATCATTTTTCAATAAGTCTACACGTTTTTAAGATATTAAAATAAAAAATAAGAAAACTATGATTTTCCCTTATGAATTTTCAATTCTTCATTACTTCAGCAACCAAGTGAAAAATACAAAAAAGTGAGACGAGATTTATTTCAAACCTTTTAATGTTTATATAATATTAAAATGACCATGGACTTGGTCACGCCGATTTGGTCAGTTTTCAAGATCGTGGTGAATGAATGTATTGTCAAAGATTAGGAATTGTTCGACAAGTTAATAGTAGTTTCAAACATATAAGTATTTACATACATTACAATTAGGGTGAGAAACGCCCATTTTAAGTCCACTTTTGCAGTCTTGAAAACTGGTGCGGCATGGTTTCATTAGTCGCCGCAGAAGCACATTTTTCGCGGTTTCTAAATTTGCCGTTATATGAAAGTAGGGGACGTGCAATAAGTGTTTAGATATACATAAATATTTTAGTTAATTCCATTATGTGAAAAAGTGTCTGTAAGTAAATGCAATAGTCTTTAACATATCCTGGGAAATCCTTTTGCGGACTCTCCAATTGGACGATATTGCTTTGCATTCAGCTTGAACGAAAAGGGTCACTCGCTTGCACAGTTTTCTGTAATCCGGTTCTTTTATTTAAAGGTTATTTATACAATTGAAGAGAAATTTGTTTAGAAAAAAACTGGAAATCCACTTAAGTTTTTCGATATAACTTTGGTAAATGTTACTCGATCGGTGCGTAATAATTAACAAATTGAAGGCGAGACTTAATGTTACTGATTTTTGATAATAATATGACTAAAATAGTTCAGATTATAAACAAATTATTTAAAATAAAAAAAATCTTGAACAAAATTTTTTATCATTTTCTTATATTTGCAATTTTTATATTGTATGCATAAACATAAGTAAACCAATTAGTGTGTCTAGAAGTTGTGCCTGTTCAGTGTTTCCATACTAATTTGCATAAACAAAATTTTTCCGCGATGATGGAAAATAATGGCTATTCTATTAGAGCTACCGAAATTGTTCCTAAATTTGCAAAAAATCGCAAACAATAGCTAATATTAAAAAAGGATTAGAATATTTGGAACTAGCGATCTAAATGCACGCCAGCAATATTAATATTGTTCTTTACATATTTTGACTATAGGCCAGTGCAATTATCAAGAGAACAATTCAAATTTTCTTGAAAATAGATGAGTTTGAGATTAACGATAAGATAAAGGGCTGCGCGAAATGATACTTGACTTTTTCTTTTGCGTTAAATTAATTTTTGGCTAAACCCAGCATTTTTAACAAGAATTAGTCTTATTCGATTAGTGTGCTGTGGGTCACTTGGCGGTCGATGCGCGGGCTCTTACAATTTAAATGAAAGACTAATATTTCGCAGGCTTGTTGTTGACTTCATGATACAATATATTTTCACTATTACCAAGGGATTTGAGAAAAATTTGATTTTCGACCCGCCCTAATAAGTATGTATCTCGGCAGCACGCAAAATGAAACGAAATATTAAAAAGGAATGACGCCAAAACAATGCATTAATATTGCTAAAATATTTTTTTTTTTAATAATTTATCAAACAGACATTTGTATTACTTACATTAAACCGTATCAAGAGTTTGGGAAATAGCTAAGTTCGAAATCTGGGCAATATGCTGCAAAACCCCCTCACCCTTCAATCTTTTATTCATCCGAAAAAAATGCTCTAAATGTGGCGATTAGATCTCAGTACTTTCTTTCACTTGTCTTGTTCTGTTACTACTACAGATCCTATCCTAAATCTGGAATGGAAATGACGTAGGCTATAAAAATTCAATATCTCGCATTCAATATGGCGGACAACAATTTGAAAAAGTTTTGGATCCGCTTGAAATTTGTTATTCGGATTTTCGTGGTCGCTGATCAAGAATATGATCATGTAGATACATATTTTTAAAATTTAGCATGGCGGATCTAAATTTTATAAACTTAAAAACAAATTTCCCCTATCTTGGATCCGCCATTTTGAATTTAAAAAATACATTTTGGAGGCAAGGAATATCTCATATATATACATACGGTGAGTGGGAGTGAAAAGCGTACAGTTTTTGTTACATTTTAATTTATTACTTTTTAACAGAAATATAGTTCACACTCCAACAAGATCCAAAAGACTCAGAGTTTCTAACCTTGTAATAATTAAAAGGAAAATCGTAAAATTTTCACACATTCTGGGTATAATAGTGTACAAGCGTGAAGTCGCTAAAAAATACCGTTCATTAAAAACAATTTTTTGTTTTGGGGTGTCTTGCGAATTTTCTTCCGTATTAAAATAGATTTTGTTCCGCGTTCTGAATAAAAAGTGCGAAGTTTTGATGATGAAGATTTGTTTTTACATTGTTACAAATATTTAGCTGTATGAATTTTGTTTTAGTGTGAACTATAGTTTTATTAAAAATAAATAAATTTTTAATAATTCAAAATATTTTCAAAAAATTAAAACAATTTACTGTACGATTTTCATTTCTCCCCTAATTGTATTATGTTAATGTATTTGAATACTTATATGTTTGAAACAACATCATTAACAATACAATGACAATACATGTTTGACTTCATTAACCTCGATCTTGAAAACTGACCAAACCGGCGTGACCAAGTCAATGGTGCTTTTAATATTATACAAACATCCGAAAACATTAAAACATTTGAAATAAATCTCGTTTTACCTTTTTTCCACTTGGTTGCTGAAGTATTGAAGAATTGAAAATTCATAGGGGAAAATTATAGTTTTTGTAAGTTTTATCTTAATATTTTAAAAACTTGTAGACTTATTGAAAAATGATAAATGATCGTGAGGTACCAAATTTAATAACCCTCAATTTGATATATCGTCTTGTTTATAACAATTAACGCATTCCATGGATATTAAAAGCCTAAGTTTCATTTTCAAAATTCATACACTTTGCATCAATTGCGCGGCCTAAATATGAGTTTTAAATTAATCTTTCGTGGCCAATAAAAATTGGCTTAGACCTAAGACATCATAATATTACTATTACAAAACCGTCAAATGCCTTTTATTTTTCCCCATACAAAATCGACCCAGCCTAATACATATGTATGTAGATGTATATATATACAGTATCGGTTATATCTATAGCACGCCATTTCAAAGTGATATTTATGTTTTTTTTTTGTATTTTTAAGAATTTTCAATTAAAATGTAATTCATTCTCAGACAAACA